TTTTCGTCAGAAATACTGGATACCAGCAGCGCGACAATACGCAAAGAAGATCACTCATCGCTGTGTGGAAAGGTCATTAGTCAATCGTACAGATCCCCGACCCACCAGCACTACCAGCAATCCGCACCACCGATTCGCTTCCGTTTACAGTCACTGGAGTTGACTTCACTGGCACAATCTACGTGAAATCACCCGAAGGTCCACTCAAAGTCTGCATCTGCTTGTTCACATGTGCCAACATCCGGGCCATCCACCTCGAAGTAGTTAATGATCTATCAGTACCCGCCTTCATGGAAGCCTTTCGAAGGTTTGCCGTCGCAAGTCACTTCCCACAATCATGGTATCCGACAACGCTTCAACCTATGAATCAGCAGCAGAAGAATTGAAACTGTTGTTTAAATCACCAATTCTACAGGAACATCATAGTAAACGATCCGTACAGTGGAAATTCATAGTAAAACGTGCTCCATGGTATGGTGGGTTATGGAAAAGACTAATCGGTATGACCAAACTTACCCTGAAGAATATCCTTGGCTGATAAACTGTCAACCTATCCAAACTGCAAACCATCATCACAGAAATCGAAGCAATATTGAATGACCGCTCACTAACCTTCGTCTCATTCAACATCGAAGATGAACAACCCTTGACTCCTTACCATCTCCTTTACGGTCGTAGAATAATAGCATTACCACACCCTTTAATCGCTAATGACGAATGGTCCGGTTCAACCTTCAATGAAAAACCAACCTTAGTTCAACACCTTGCGAAAAGGAGAACTGATTTAATCCACCACTTCTGGAACCGCTGCCGGAAAGAATATCTGACATCACTCCGCAAATTCCACAAGGCAACAAAAACAAACAAAATTTCTATCAAGGCGGGCGACGTTGTCCAGTTAGATGACGATACAAAGCGTATCAACTGGAGATTAGCTGTCGTTGAAAGTCTCATTACTAAGATGGATTAGTCCGTGCAGCAAACATCAGAACGAACACAGGCCACACTAAAGGTCCAATTACAAAGCTGTACGCACTCGAGGTTGCCTTGACAACAAGAAGTACTCCTGATGAAAGCCATGTACCTCCAACTCACGAGGAAAGTATCGCGAATGGTCCATTGATTTACGTCACCCCAAAGAAGCAAGGACGAACAGCAGCTCGCGAAGCAAAGAAGAAGATCAAGGACTGGACAGGTGAACTCTTGCGCACCCCAGGGGATGTCCCGGATTAGCGACAGCACAGTTATATTTAAGATATAGTTCAGTAGGACATGTTACGGTAGCAACAGTCTCTGAACCTTATTGGTTAACGTTAAGGAAAGGGCAGGAATGAGCAGTTGTGATTTTGGACATTGTTTCAAGTAGGAACTGTAATTCTAACCCTTGTCGCTGTTCTTTTATGTCAATGATTATAACACAGAGGATATATATCCTCGGATTCAACGGAAACAACTGTCACCACAATATACTGTTTAATTAACTGTCAACTTTCGCTCGCTGTGAATACTTTATTTGATAAATATTTCAGTATCGTTTAGTTGGCTTTTCCTTTCAACGGTTATATTATAAACCACAAACTTTACTCAACTTAAAAGATTAATCACGAAGAAGCAGTTTTTAATTTTAAACATTTTCCGGCATTTATTTTGTCTAAAACTACATGAAGTGCAGTGACATCTAATTTTCTCGGGTTTTAAGTCGCGGAATAGATTACTACAGCTCTAACTTGCAATCATATAATATTATTGGTAGGTTTTTATGTAAAGGTATGTTCACACGATCCAATGTTGTTTGATCCAATTCGCTTCTGATGAATGTTTCATAGTCTGATAGTCTGTTGTCTTGTAATGTATATATGAGCAGCAATCCACTGAAGCCATGCACTAAATGCACTACATCTTCATCAATAGCCGACTTTATTTCATATGTCAGAAGTGAATGGATGGAACAAAAATGGATTGCATGAACAGACCTTAAAATATTCTTTAGAAATGAATAACCAATTGGAAGTTAGTCCGTCTAATGACTTACCCTGAAAACGCGACTGGCTGAAAAATATATATCAAGTGTACATCATCAACTAACGAACTCGAACTGAGGGCCTTCGTCACAAGACCTCATTGTCTTGCACAAAATTTCCCCTGGGTAAATTAACCCGCATTGTTTTGGAATTGATAGTTAATCCCATGCCCTCAAAGTTGCAGGAAGATAATGGGGCGAAACGGACAAAAAAGACTAGGCGCGAGAATAGTTAAGAGTGGTTGAGAAGAACATTTTTTGTTCGACATAGTGTGTTTCAAGAATAAACGATTTCTTTTTTAGCATTTTTGACTTGTTTTGTGCCGGGTGGATTCAAAATCTTCTGACTGGTTAAGACTGTTCAAATTCGTGAACACGCATCGTCAAGGCATCATCATTGAACTAGTAAATTAATAAAAATTATGCCCTGCAAAACGGAAAACGAAATGATTTTCATTTTCTTTAACCCCTTCTTGCAAATATTTTTGTTTGCATATCGCTTCCGCTCATATAATTTATAGTTTATATCAAGATATAGCCTTTGACCCTGACATTAGTCTACCTGTATGGATACAATATAATTATATGACCGAATTCGTTCTAACGCAAGCGGTTATAATCTTTGAAAATTTTTCCAATTTCACGCAGAGTAGTTTGAAAATTAAATAGGAAATTGAATATTAATAAATGGCCTGCTACAATGAAAAGGAAAACAATAAGTAAATTTTGAATATTTCACTTTCATTTTCATTTTCTTTAACTTGTCTTGAAATATTTTCAAATTTGATACAAACATTTGTTCGTCATTGAACTATGTCTACACGCGGGAATTAGTCGCTTAATTGCAAAATTTTTGTAATGAAAGAGCGTTTTTCTACAAGAGAAGCCTTTATAAAAGACGCACACTCAGCGAATCTATATGGTCGATAACTCACGTTAACATCTGTGCATCTAACGACTCATTGCTCTCGCCATCGGTAAAAGATTCAAATCACGTCAGTGCCAACGATAGCGAATACCAACGATTAATATTCTAAAAACTCCCTGCCGCTTTTCTTCTAAAAGTCATTAACTAGCTCTAAGGATCCATGAGGTCTGAAAAGACTAATTCAAGCGAAACATCACAATGGGAAAATTTTATTATGGCATATTGATTGGAGTAATATTTATTGCAAATCATGATTCGTGGATTAAAATTTCACTTCCAATTTATTCCGGCCTCAGCTCTCATGAGTATTCGTTGCAATAGCAAGATAAGTAGACGGTTTTTTCCTATGCTGGAAAAGAACCGAATTATGAGGACGTTAGGTATGGCCTCAACAATTCAACGGACAATGCATATAGATGATAACAAGGAAATAGTAAGTATAGATATCTTGTTTAGATATATAGTAACTCGTTATATAGGTTTTCGTAGAATCGATAACCACATTATCTGATTAAAATTAATTGCCAACAAGATTAAGAATTTTATAGCAGAATTTTAAAACAGATCCTAGAACTTATAGTAAATTATTTTAGTTGTTGGAGGGAGACTTGTCCATGTGTTTATGTGATGCCTGATTGATTTTTCAGATTATATATATATATATATATATATATAATATAAAGCATTGCTTTTAAGGTTAGTGACATAAGTAAATAAAATATACAAGGTTAAGCCCCCTCTTGCATGCATTAGGTGTCTCGCACAGCCTTTGCACGCAATGTTAACACGTTAACCGCTCAAGCTCTTTCCAACATTACCAGAAATTTGCGACATGATAATTTGCATGTATACTAATTTGCATTTAACTTTCAGTATAATGGCCTTCAACTTTTACTATAAAATACATATAGTAAATATACAAAACTTAAAAATGCCCTTGCCCTAGACCTTGCCCACTGTTTGCCGACCTCTAGATCGGTAGAGCAGCTGTTTAGAAACGTTTTGGTGACAGGATTTTTTAGCTTGGGCATTTCTGCATTCGGCCAAATTTAAAAATATATTGCTCAAAGTTTTGTCCGTGTGCTGTCCACGAACTTATAAAATCGCTCACATTGATTCGAATATTTCGATTCAGGTAGTTGATGAATTGACGTATAATGTACCCAAAAAAATTGTTTAAGATATTCTCTTTCGTATTTGTGTATAAACTTTTCTATACGGCTCGGATTTTTACTGCAATCACTTTAAAAAATATTATCAGTCTTGTCTGGAACTTGAACAATACGAAGGCTATATACACATTTGTTCACAATCATTTGGCCGAACGTAGAAATACCTAAGGAAAGTAATTCGATCATTAAAACGTTGGGAAACGGCTGTTCTATTGATCCAGAGGTCGGCAAACAGTGGGCAAGATCTAGGTCAACGGCATTTTTAGGTTTTGTATATTTACTATATGTATTTTATAGTGAAAGTTGAAGGCCATTATGCTGAAAGTTAAATGCAAATTAGTATACATGCAAATTATCATGTCGCAAATTTCTGGTAATGAGAAACTCGCTATAATTACGAGATTGCCAATTGGTCATTTTATTTTATGAAACAGTATAGTCATACAGCGTGAGTAAAACCTGGCGTCTATTCATACGCAAATTGGCCGCATAGCGCTAGCTATGCGCATTGCATGGCCGCATGCTGTTATTCAATACGAATGAATTAATACATGCATGTATTTGGTGATTGAAGTATATTAAACTCGTACGAGACATAATAAAACTGTTGATAAATCCGTTCTGTTTGACACCAGGATATAATTATCTAAATTAATTGGTCTCATAAGACTTAGTTGAAAGTAGAAGTATAGGGCCTATGAGCATCGCTGCATCGATCATGTCTTTTTATCACGGCTGATAACTGCTTGGCTGGTCATATGTATCAAAATTGCTGTTGAAAAAACCTCTACAGTACAGATACGTATCAACGTACGTTTACCATAATTTTGCATGCGGCGAATTGAAATTGAAACAAATATATAATATAAAAGCCATCATCATCCCGGCCTGAATAGTCAGTTCAGATTTATATTCAGATTTTTATCTATAACTACAAATACATGTACACATTTGTGCAAAATTTATTAATTGTCATCAAATATATTAATAATCACCAAATATATCAATATTTTCCATATAATTTATTTATTTTTTGTGAACTCTTGGTGTCTTTAAACTTTTCTGATATACCGCGGTGTGTTTTCTAAAGCCAAATGATTTTGTACTTCATAACAAAACAGACCACATATAAAAGTCATTGAAATATTTCTTTTGAACTGCGCTGAATTGAAGGTTTATTATCAATATAATATGACGTCAATTTAATATGACGTCATGAGGCGTCTCGACAATATGAGTTAACATGGGCAAAAGAGCGAAAATTTTAAATTCTAATATATAAATACAGTTTAAATCACTAGATTTACTTAAAATCTTCCAGTGCCGAAGCCATAGGAAATGAAGGACACGATAATTCAGTTTGTCGAGGATCTGGCTTCTGATTGCTTGATTTTTATACTCAGATCAGTAGGTTACTGCTCATATATAACGTACCTGAAAATAAAATGGAAAAATAGCCACTACACCTAACATAAATAGTTCGGCATATAGCGGTACCTGAATCAGACTCACGAATGCGTTGATTGGTATCGTTATCTTTCCAAGAGTTCTGTCTTAAACCTGTCTTGCGGCCAGTATATCGCATATAATCTTACCGCTTTTTAATCCGTTTCGGATGAGCGAGCCAAATCGACACCATTATCTGCTGTTTGAATTGCATTCGACCCGACCGAAATGCGACCCTTTAAGCGAGGCCTTAGCCAGGTCAACCCCAAAAAAGTCTGGTTAATTCCCTTCGAGAGTAAAAATGCGTTTCTTAATTCCCAATTCCTCTGTGTCGAAATGCATGTCTGAATGTCGTGTTGGACACAAAGGTCTTACTGATGGTCAAATTAGCTAGTCGTAAAATCGTTGAAAATTTGAATACCAAATTAGGCATGCCGCATGCATCAGTTCTTGTGTTTTGATCTGCTCACATTACATATAATTTGTTGAGATTTGGGAAGGATCGTCCTGTATAAACTGGCACGTTAATGAGTTTATCGTTTTGAGATTATCGTTTAATAAAATGTCTAATGTTGTTCAGATAAAGACTAAGCATTGCAAAGTTCAAACAACCTTTGGATACAAACAAACCAAGCTAAACCTCGACAGTCAAAGCAATAAACAAAGTGATGAAAGCAAGGCAAAGGGCGAATATAAAAAATCGAAGCGACAGCAAGACTCTTCGGGAAAAGTCTGTAGTCAGGCAGAGCCTGTGAAAAGCGAGAAAGAAGTTGTTCACGAGGTCCCTGCCATTGTAACTTCACCAGAGATCAGAAGAGTAATGGTCAAAGAAGGTGTTACGAAAGTTGTTATTGATCTTGAGACGACTTCCCGAGGTAGGATGATTTTAATACAGAACTGCGTTCACACGGTAGCGGAACCTCTTAATTGTCACGATATCTTCGTTTAGCTATATGAAGCAACGATTATTAATTAGCAAATGTTTATTAATTTGATAGATTTGGTATACTTATTCGGATCTCGAGCTATCAATACAAATGAAAAATTGAGTGTAGTGTAAACGGAGCTATAAACGCAATATGAGAAGAAACGCAGTTTGAGCCCGCGAAGCCCGTTTAAGGCCGAGACACTCGGCATGCGATTTTCCAACGCGACGCGATTTTTAGGAATTTTTCAGTTTTCAAAATCTGCTAATTTTGACAATGTTGTCATATTCTTGGTAATTACTGAATGATAGTACATTTCTACCTGTCTGGTACCCATATCTCTCAAAATATTCGTTCAGAATTCAAATTATTAACTTCTGCATGAAAATGAAAAATTCGCGTCGCGTCAGCCAATCGCGTCTAGTGTGTGTGGGCTTGGCATTATCCACGGGAGGGTTAAAATTGGGCAGTCAATCGGTTGGCATGTTCTCGCGTATATATATATATCGCATTCAGCTATAAAGCTATACAGTTAGTCACAATAGCTATACAGTTCCACCTCATTTGAATTATTAATTTTTAAATTCAGGACTTGTTTTTGAGGCTTTTTTCATTAAAAAATAAAGTACATGCAATAACATCAATTTCCCATACTTTTTCGCAGCGGAAGACGCTGAAATATGCCAAATCGCAGCTACAGATGGGTCAGACGAGTTCAATATATACATTATTCCTAGAGGATACGTAACATCTGGTGCTACGGCTGTCAATAAACTCCGGAAAAGACGCGGGGCATTATACCAAGGTAGAGAGCGTCTGAAGGCCGTCTATCTAAACCAGGGTATCGCAAGATTCCTAGCATGGCTTAAAATGAAGACACCGAGTTTACTGATTGCACACAACGGCAGGGCATTCGACGCAAAACATTTGATCAATGCGATCGCCTCGTGCAAGCAGATGTCAGAATTTTCCCAGGCGGTGATTGGATTCTCGGATTCATTGACCGCTTTCCGCGAACTGTTCCCGGAAAGGAAGACTTACAAACAGACAGATTTAGCGAAAGATCTTCTACGCGCAACATATAATGCGCATAACGCTCTTGACGACGTAAGGATTCTTCAAAAGCTTGTATCTAAATTTATAACTAATGACATGCTGTTAAAGCACAGTTTTACGGTCTTCTGGTACCGCGATTATTTATCCTATTCTCAAATGACCCAGGAAAATATGAAAACATTAAAGCCTTTAGTCAAGGCAGGAAAGGCTTCTGAAGGAATGGCCGCAAAGATTGCCGGAAGTGGACTGAGGATGAGTCATTTGGAGTTTGTTTACCGAACCGGGGGGGTAGAACGTCTTCGCGAGGTTTTAACTGAGCTCCACGGGGAAAAGCCACGCGTGACCAACAATAAAAAAATTCAGACTGAGATCTGCAGTTTCTTCACAGAAATCACGAAGGAATAAAATTTCGAGAATAGACATTCGATTGGTGAGAAATCATAGAAATTTTTCATACATTGTTCAAATAAACATCTTATTTTCGTATACGATTAGTAAATTTTACAGCTGATATCATCAATCGAAACATATTAAAACGGACCCGAGTCCTACTATGGTAATGAAAACATATTATATCGTGTAGGCCATATATTTGGCACTATATTTAACAAGTATTGCACGTGTGTATAACGAAATGCATGTTTATCCAATTAAGTTAACGTTTTGAGTTTATTTAATAATAAAGCGACTTTAACATGCGTAAGATTATGCACACAAATTTCAGACTACTGTAAGTAATATTTAAACTTTCTTAATACCTGGGACAAGTCTAGCGATTTCTGCCTTGTAGGCTACCTTTTTACCAATGCAATAGGGACACCTAGAAGTGATTGGGGTTATAAGTTTCTTAATTACATGATACAATTAGAAGCTAAAGTCGCGTTTACATTATACGTGCTTTGACCAGGCCTATAGGCCAAGGAGTGAACGTTATTTATCTGCCCTGGACCAGGTCGAGGCACAAACTCCAGGCCAATAGAAGGTGACCTGGACCTGATGCGTGGATAGTGAGGATAGCTATCTAATAGATAAGTTAAAATTTACCCGGAGAAAACGTATCACAACGTTAGCTGTTGGTAAGCATTTATAACATTAAATTCCTCATTATGAATTCTCGAGTATAGTTACTGGATGGAAAAGATTTGAACAAGTGATTTGCTCGAACTTTGCACTTCACATAATAGTGATTTTATGAAACACATTGCAATTTTATTCCTTGACCTTGCGACGTCGACGCTTTGCCTTTCGGTTCCATAACAAATTTATATAGGAACACTATTTTAATGTTTTGATTGGCTAATTCCTGGCTAATCTAAGCGGAGCACAAAATTCGTAGCCTTGTTGTCTATACTTGTCTGTTGCGTGAATGAAATTACTTAGATATTAGCAAGTTTTCTTGGAATAGGATGAATCTTTCTTTGCATATTCGCGTTTATAAACTGATTAGAAGCGTATAGTAAATATACCGCCTGTTATATCAATGTGAGGATGTCCAAAAAATCGCCGCTCTGAAAGGAATGTGTTGTTGCATGTAGGCAATGTGAAACGCTGCTTTGACAAATATATAAACATTGGCTGGATTGCACTTCGAAAACATTTTTAATAGTGAGTACAATCATGTGCATATTAGTTTGTTGAAACACAGTAAGAGGAATTTTGCATTTTTGTCCTTTTTTATCGTGAATGTTTACAGTGTTATTTTGCATCTTAATTTTGAATTTATCCACTGGATAGTGGATTTAAACTACCTCCGGACCTTGGATATAAATAACGTGATAGCATTTTTATCCGCTGGATAAAGTTACCCAAGCTTCCTGCAACGCTAATCACACGCTGGATAAAACTTATGCGTTGGATAGCGAGTTATCCACCTTTCTAACAACCAACCCCTGGGTTTTATATAATCTGTATAGGCTGCATACTACAGAGTGTACCATTAAAAAACGCAACCCTTAATAAGTAAGAGGCCTACGATCTTTTGTTATTGAATAGAAGCGAACATGTATGAAGAATGTTAAGTGGGTTGCAGTTTTTTATATACCCCCTGTAAAGTATTACCACTTTTGGCTTGTTTGGAATCTTGTTCCAAGTATTTTGTCAATTATGTTAGCCATTCGTTATCATCAAGAAGAAAGACAGTGTGAACGTATAGAACATATTACCTAGACTTGTCGTAGATTTGGTCCAGGCGAGATCTAGGCCTCTGGTGTATCCTAAGGGTTTACATGGATCGAGCTATAAGGCTGGGCGAGGTGAAAACTGCATATAATGAAAGATTAATCAGGTCAAGCCTTTGATGTAATGCGCTTTTTACCTCACCTAGCCGGGATAACTCGCTCCATGTAAACAGCCCCTAAGTCGTCGGTACTTCTGCCTGGAATTGACTTCAACACGCCTTCAAATGACTTCATTGACTTCAAATGTAGTCAAGTAGTGTTCATAAAAAATATTCATTTTCCAAGCCTGGCCTACAGAGCTTGAAGACTGGGTTGTCTGCCCCCAACTCCTTCACCAGCTCCCCACTTTTACAGCACTTCCAACGATGGAGCGATGTCGTCAGGACAGCAAAAAACATTTGCCTAAGATAGACTTTTGGGACATGGTGCGTTTTTTGGGGTGGGTCATATATTTTGTTTTACATACTTAGCAAAACACCACAGCTCACACAACCCTACATTTGTCTAGCGTCTTTTCAAATGAACCATTTGAACAGCTTCGAATAATTAATGTAGCTATATATATAGAATTATGCGTGCATGTGTACTTGACAGTAAATATGAGCTCCTAACGTTGCCAGGCGCTCTAGATCCAAACGGATGACGATGCCCGAAAAATTCGTTTGAAAAAAAAAGGTCCAGTCACAGTCGGGTACATCTCTCTTTGAAGCTGGTTTCCTTTTTGTATAGCCACCGATTTGTGTATGTCTGTGTGCATGTAAGTTAAGAGTATATAAATGCAATAAAAAAGCCATATTTCATGATAATATTTTTAATAACAACTTGACACGAACGTGGTGACAAATATCAAATTTAAAATTACAATGGGGTATATAATATCTTGAGTATATAAAAAACATCGCTGCTGACCTGTGCTGACGTGCTCAATAATTATACTAGTAGGTGTATTAGAAAAAGTTTTACAGATGTCATGTAAGATTTTTCCTCGAATACCCATGCATAGTAAAATTAGGAAAAAGAATGAAAAATTCTTTATAATAATAGTGCCACTCTTTCTTGGCAAGCAACATCAAAAATTTTTCACCTATATAACCATGCAATAATTAAAACAATTTTAATATACCGCTTCCCATGTGAATAATGCTATGTGAAATTATTTTTAATATGTAATATATCCATGCACTTAATCTATAAATTTAGAAAATCGTCTTTCCTACGAAGATACTCGTTAAGGCGATTTTTGCTGTATCTAAAGGAAAATAACAGCAGAGAATTATTCTTGTCACTGGACTCTAATATAACGACGAAACACCGGACAATCACCGGCCAAACCACGGTCAGCACAGTAGTGTACATATACATGGTGGTTAAAAGTCTGAATCCAGTCGATAATTTTTCTTATATTACGATAATTTACAATAAATGATATCTTGTGAGTTGGAGATTGGATATGTTGATCTGAACTTGCGTATCTTATTATAGTAATGCTTCCCATAGATATCTTGTCAACTCTCATGGTATTGCAGTTGAATAAGAAATTCATATTATTCTTGTTTTGCACCAAAGATGGCAGCTAGAGAGGACTAACAATGATGGGATGTCTCAAAAAAATTGAGAAAATTTGAGATGAAGTTATATGTGTCGAACGAAAAGCTGGAAACATTTTGTAAGTTAAGTGGAATGAAAATCTGCGACACCAAGGGCTACTCCTGCAAAGGAAAATGGAAAAAAAAAGTAGAAGGAATCAATGGTCGAATGGAGTTGAACCAGTAGGATATAACACAAATTGGCACTGTTCTAACATTTTGTATGACCTTTTTTACGTTTCAAAACAGCTATTTTTTGGATAGAGTGAACCAGTTTTGTTAGCATTACGGGTTCAATTCTATTCCACCATTGATTAGGGACAGTCCATTGGTTTTCCTTCTACTTTCTTTTCATTTTCCTTTGCAGAAGTAGCCCTTTTTGCATGATCTCACAGATTTTCATTTAATTGAATAAAAACCTGATTCACCTGAAACCGAAAGGTTTCCAACTTTTCGTTCGACACACATAACTTGATCTTAATTTCGGCCCTCCCTTTGCCATCTTTGGCCCACAAAAAAATAATACGCATTTCTTATTAAACTTAAATACCATGAGAGTTATATTAATTAGATCTATGGGAAGCATTAGAATCACAAAAAAAGTTCAGATCAACAGATCATATTATATCATGTTATAAAAAAATATATATAATTTTTTTTTGAGCGAAACAAGCGTAGTTTTTATATATGTGTAGATATAATTTAAAAATAGTAAACTCAACTAAGTTAACTAACACTTACTCAAGAAAGTCGAAATCAATTGAGGAGAAATTTGCTTGAAGTAATGCCCAGACTCCCCAAAACAAATTCGATACCTAACAGTATATGAAAAACCAATTATTGCATGTGTCACGCAGTAAATCGTTTATGGCTACACCGTAATTTTTGCTGCGATTTTCATCTTTTCTTACAGATGTGAACAAGTTAACCGTTCATGAACTCTCTAATGAACAAGTTTCCTTATATTTGCACAACCGTAACGTATCCGCTCGTTCACATCTGTCGAAAGAAGAAACGAACATCAACGACTAATATAATGAGTACCCGTACAAATTCCTCGGTTTTTGTAGTGGTAGCCTTAACACAAGTGAAATTGGGTACGAGAGCCGTTTGTTGCCAATAAATTTAAGGCAGTGTAAACGGGCCTTAATGCATGCAGTATAGGGCGGTACTTACCAGCGCAAACTGGTTGACATAAACATATAACTTTTTAATTTGTTCTTCAGTAATTACCTCTCCCGTCCCTAATGAACAAAAAACATACAATTAATCATGCGCCTCGTGGATGTGCATGACATAATAACTTTCCCTATAAACTACAACACGAAGAGCGAATAGTCTGCTTTATTCATGCCAGACAATAACTCAGAAAATGGATCATTATTAACCGTTATTAACAGTGCTGTTGTAGAAGTGCAATATACCCAATACATTGCTGAACATAAGAAGTCGACTTGAGACTTAAATAAAGATTAATATATAGTAATTACGACTCATTTTACCTTGAACTTTTGCTTTCTCCTCCAAATATATTCTCAACCATCTCATCTGAAATTCCCTACCAGGATATAAACTATAATCTGGATCAATGACAACACCTAAAATCGATCGTTACGGAAATATTTTGTAGCTATATGTGGATGTAACAGTCCTGTATGAGTATAATTCAGCAGTCATTCTGGATAGTAATTTGTATAGATGGTATAAGTATATATACATAGCTACAGAGTGTCTGAAAAAAAGGTAGTTCCACAACAACGCGCTCGTGTGCGTAAATTGCTCGACATGCAAACGAGCGTAAACTACAAAAAAAAATTGTTCAAGTTATCGAATGCTAACATCTTTCCACGAGGAATTAAGTCTAAACTTTAAATAGGATTAGGCCCTTTGGGACTTTAGTTATCCGGAAATTAAAAGTACCTCAACAACTACGCTAATGCAATGGATCGGTATAATTAATGACAATACTAAATTTCAACAACTAAATTTGAGACGGAGAACTTGACGACGAAATGAAAATTTGTGATTTCGACCAATCTTATCTAACGCGCTCGCGTCTTTTCATTTTTCTTCCATACTTCTAAAAATATATGAAATTCGATAGTGCAAACACTCTTCTTTCAGAGTTTCAAAAAATTACGCTTGTTACTAGAGACTAATTCACGAACACGAACGCATCAAATTTTTATTACCTTTTCTTGTAGACACCTTGTATTATGCAATGTTTTCTATACC